GATTAATAGTAAGCCAGAATCAGCTGGTAGTGCCAAGTGCCTTGATAACACAATTGACCACAGAATGCTTTGTTAGATTTCTTCCCCCTCCTCTCCTCTTTTCCCAGAGAAAACTGGGAGACAATGCAATTGCTGACTTAGTAGCAATGATTTTTATGCAATTATGATAAACAGCGGAGAAAATAATCATCTAGAACAGAAGCATACAGAAAAATAGCAAAGAAAAGGGAACGAAGGACGAAGGGTATTCAGGAGAATTGATAAATTGATTTGATATTTAAGAAATAATAAATAGCTTTATGGTGTAGAAATGTCATTCCAATCTAAAATGTCAACCATTTTATTATCCCAGCAGCTTTTGTAATTTCTCCTAAGTGAGGGAGACAAAAAGAGTTTTAATAAAGTATAAAATAAGTGTCTTATCTTGCCTATTCATCTCTATAATAAAACTTTGGTGACCAGAAGTGTTTTCTGTTGTCCTTGGATGGCTGCCTGGCTAGAGGGATTTTCCATCTCTCCCAGAAGACTTTGAATTGGCAGGCTCTTGGCTGGATGGCATAAGACTGAATGAAGAGAATGGGCTTATTTGGTGCATTACTTGGACTTCAGTGAGAATAAGATAAGGGAAAAGCAAATGTCTCTGATCTGTCTCTGCTTTGGGAGATGTGGTTTCCTAGCAGTTGCGGTTTGGTGAGAGCAGGAGGAATTGGATAGGTGTGAGTGTATGAATGGAAGTTGCAGTGGGGAAGGCAATAGGATCTGCTGAGTGCTACAAACAGAATCAGTGCAATGGCCTAAGGACTCGCCAATCCTGGAGAAGGCTAAGCAGGGTTGAAGTAATAGTGAATGAAGGGGATGGAGGACAAAAAGGAATATCAATGGCTGGATAGATGGATAGAAAGAAGTATGGGTACATTTGGTCTTCTGGCCTTTGGTACTTGTGCCTTATACCCTGGTCACTGATGTTTGAAGGCCCAGGCTTCTCTCTGCTGCTGTTGAATGCCAGGTTTACCAGTAATGCCTCCCTCATCTATGGTTATGGATATGAGGGCAGGGTTAACATGGATTATTGGGGCCTGGGTAGGTACAAGGTAGTAGTGCTGTCTCAAAGATGTGCCTATCTGGTTTTTAGGTGTAGCACTAGCTGAGATCCTGGGACAGGGATGGTGGAGTTACTCTGATCATTCAGGATTCTGGTAGCATTTAGAAATACTGTCCCAGTTGGCTGGATGTAACTTCCTGTTTGTTAAGTTGTGCTTTAGAAATTAGAAGAGTTTGTTGCTTCTGCACCAATTACCCTGCTGCATAGCAACCTTCCTGCCTAAACTCTTATATTCTGTGGCCAAGGTAGCCATGGGATTTTCCCAGACTTATGATCTTAGGGGACTTAAGACAGAGTCAAGCAGTTCGGGAACTCATAGCCACCAAGTAGGTCCGATACTGATAATCAAGAGCATGACACATAGCAGTGACCACATATTAAACCTGGTCTTTTATTGGGGCAGAAGCAATATGATTTTAAGTTGAGGAATAGGACTCCCTCACTTTACTGTTATGATTAGATCACTTACCAAGTATTTTAGAGCACTCTAGGATTGCTCTCTGCTGCAGATGGTGAGAGCTATTCCACAGTCTGCTCCAAGTGCTTGGGGAAAGTTGGAGTTTTTCCCAAACATTTGGTGTACACTTGGGCTAAAGCCTTAGTTGCTGCTTGGAATGAGAGAATTAATGGAACTTTGGATTGGATTGTGCCTGTGTATTCAGCTGTACCTATATGGCCCTTGTTGGCCAAGTGATCTGTACAGATTTGGTCCTAGTGTTTGGAAGCAGTGAGGATCTGGATTGAGATGAACAGGCTTTGGGTTAACTCTAGCAAAATACAGTAGTTTTGTTGTTGGGCCTCTGGATCTGCTAATTTTCTAGTTTTAGTAGTGAATGGGACTACACTACTTCAGTCAGAACAGCTACATAATTTGGAGATTCTCTTGCTCAAAGAGCAGATAGGAGCATTTCTATTGTGTACAAGCTCCCTTTTATCCTAGATCAGGAAGCACTGTACATGGACTCTCATTTTTTGGTGACTTCTCAAGTATATTATTTTAATGTGCTCTACATGGGCATTCTAGAATAACTTCTAGAAACTTCAGTTGGGCCAGAATGCAGAGATATAGGCAATTATGGGAATGTCTTGCTTTGCCTATATTACACTTTTGATCTAAGACTCTAAGCTATACTGGCTTCAAGGATGTTTCTTGGTGCAATTCAACCTATAAACCCCTACATGGCATAAGGCCGAGGAATTTGAAGGACCCTTATTGCCATAATTTCTATTTAAAACTATTGGTGAAAGGTGAGTTTGAGACCAACTTTGTGTTAATTTATGTGTTTTTTAAAAGTATATATTGCATTTATATTGTATTCTAATTTTTGTTATTCACCTGATGGCTGCCACCTAAATTCATATAAATAAATAATAATAGCAATAGCACTTAGACTTATATACAGCTTCATAGTGCTTTACAGCCCTCTCTAAGCGGTTTACAGAGTCAGCATATTGTGTCTTCAATCTGTGTCTTCATTTTTACCAGCCTCCGAAGGATGGAAGGCTGATTCAACTTTGAGCTGGTCAGGAACAAACTGCTGGCAGTCATCAGAATTAGCCTGCAATACTGCATTCTAACCTCTGTGCTACCACTATGGCTTTTCTAACCTCTGTGCTACCACTATGGCTTTTCCATTGAATCAAGTTTACTAATGCATTCATACAGTAAATGGATGGTTTGAATGAACTAGAAATATATTTCAGGTTTTACTCATCTGATATTGTCTACATCATCAAAGAAGTCTTCTATATTTTGTTCTTCTTTAGCAAGATTTAGATCCAGTTCTTTAAAAGTAAATGGACAATTTGAGAATATAAGAGGAATGCATTAGTGTTAATTCTACTTTTTAAATCATATTCCTTATATTCAAGAAGTGGTTTCTACTTCAGGAACAAATTTTTGGCTACAGCTGTTTTAAAAGCAATGTTCTATTTATCAATTTTAATAGATTCTCTTTGTACTTTTATCAATGTAATCAACAGAGGCAGCTATTTTAATCATTTACACAATATACCAAAGTACATTAAAATTGGCAGTCCTCAACTACGTTCACCAATTTTTGCAATTCAGGATGACACAATGCATCTTAAAATGACAGACTGATAATCTAAATTTCTTGAAAATGTGTGCTTAAAAATAAAAGCACTTTTGAGATGTTCAAAGAAATGTTCTCAAATGTTCTCTTGTGATTGCTATTATTTTTCTTTAATTTTCTAACAATAACATATGGTGAAAGAAACTTGGTATAACTTATATAATCATGCCACATCACCACTATATATACTTAACAGTAGCATTTTATATACGATTTTGTACCGTAGCATGTTTTACATTAAGCTGAATTTTGAATGATTTGTCAATTATTTACTAATCAAGTTTATATCCTGTTACAATCATAAGTAAACTTTCAGGAGATCACATAAAGGCCACACAATGACAAATAACAAATGGATTAGATATGATTCCCTCCAAAACCTGGCATCAATACCCAAACAGCCTGAAAAAAGCTCCATCTTTAGCTATTTCCAGAAAGCTGAAATACAATAATTCAAAATAATTCAGAACCAAATTTTCACTCAGACTTTGGATAATCTGATTACAAACTTTCAGAAAAAAATGTTTCTTTTCTTTACCTGGAGAGAGGAAAGAGAGAAAAGAAAAAATTATTTAGCATGAGGACTGGTGATAGACCAAATATCATCTATTATATTCAGCAAAAGAGCCTTGCAAAATGATCAACAGTAGCTGGACATGGCATACTTGAACATGGTTAAGTTGTTCTTGCTATAAGATGAGGAAGAGAAGTTTGTAAGGGTACTCATGCAGATATCCTTCTGCCATTGCCTTGCTAAAATTTCATACTTGGCCACACAAATGGGGAGCTGAAAGAGGATGTTTAACTTTAGATCATGATGCTAACAATGTGTCCTCCCCAGACATGAATTTTCAAACTTTTTATTAGGTTTTGCAAACCTTTTGTATGTTACTTTTTAAAACTTTTACAGACTTTATTATTTATGCTGTTTTGATATATTGTCCCCTTTTAATTTCTTTTAGCTCTTTTTTCCTGGACTATTTCGAGAATTGTTATTACAAGCTATATAAATAAATGCAAAGCAATCTTATTCAGAAGAGCCCTCACAGAAACTTGTTTGTTTAGCACATGAATTTGGGGGAAAACTGGTTGACAGAGTAGATTTTAAGGGTGCCATACAATGATAAAATCAGTAATAGCTTAATAAAATTTAATTGGAGATTTTACTTTATAAAACACCTATTTTGAATTGTATATAACAATAAATGCAACAAATGTGTACATAAATCCTTTGAAAAACAAAAAACATGTATAATCTACAAATACAGATTACCAGCAAATACTACAAATATAGCATTAAATATTATTTTATTCCAGATTTATTAAAAATGACTACTAGACCTGTGTATCAGAATTAAGATTGCAAAATTATGCAGCACCACAAATTTTACTCCTGTATATATGCATATAATTATATTGGTGAAGATGTCCTTTATGAACTCATTGAATGAATTTAGTACAACCGCAATTGTATGTCTAGGAATACACAAAGTCATTACAAGCATTAAAAAATAGTCATAAAGATTATATTCTCAGAGAGGTATTTAAAAAAAAATCTGTTCCGGATTATTACTCATAATACAAATAATCCAAGGCAAGGCAACATCATTTCTCGTATTATTTTTCGTGACGTGAAGGTGAAAACATGAAGAAGGTTGGTAAACAATCATAATAACTGGAAAGCTCCGAGACATGAATGAGTAAGATGAAACAGTGTAGCTGCGGGGAAGGAACTCCATGCCGGGTTTTTCTGGTCGCTCTCTGAGTGACAGATTGACATCACTGGAGGCGTGAGGAAAGGTTGAGGTGGGGGCTCTGCTGAAATGCTGCTGTGGGGAGTTTAGCTCATTCTGAAACAGCTACGCTCGCGCACAAAGGAGCCTGCAAAGTCAAGCAACTTTCTCCGAGCAGGCGTCTTGGATTTAATTCTGTTCCCGTGGGATTTAATTTAAGGGAACGGCTCCTAACCTTTGCATTCGGTAATCATGATCTGAAGGTTTTTGCAAGGCTTTCGGAAGTAGCTCAGGTGCTGTGTGTTTCTATGTGTAAGTGAGTGAGTGAGTGGGTGAGAGAGAGTCATTAAACGCGCGTGTCTGTAGGCGGGTGCAATCAACTTCTGGCTTAAACGCTCCCGGCCGTTTAAAATACCTTGATACCAGTATTGGCATTCGTGAGTTTGATGGTTTAACGATCTGCAACGCCCTTAATAAGTAAAGCAGCTAAGTTGTTTCAAATGTAGACCCGAGGACTCTTTGGGGGGCGATTTAACAAATCCCCCCCTCACAAAAAAAAAAAAAAAAGCTCGCCATTTGTCCTCCCTCCGCGAAATCCTTTTGGAACCTTTGTACCTTTTCGGGTTACACGGGTGTTCAACTCAAACATCAATTATGTGCGTACGTGTGTGTGTGCGCGTGAGGGAAGAGCTGATGTGACTCTCGGCTAGGACTACTCCTCCCCCCACCCCTCCCCAGTGAAATGGGTGCTGCAATCAGCCTGTCAACCAAGCAGCGCCAAGAAGCACATGGTAGCTTTGCTTCTTGCCCTCTTCTGTTATGCCCGCGAGGATGTCTTGCGCCTCCTGGTTGCATTTTTTATTGATGTTGGATTTCCTCCCCTCCCCCAGGCATTTCCCTTGCACTTTGCCTCGCTTAAGGTTGGAGCGGAAAGCTGCGGGCCAAGGACCATGTGGTGAAAAGAAGGTTAGAGTCGAGGAAGTGGTTGGACTTATCTGCTGCTACACGCGCGCCTGACTGGGAGGGGAAAAATCTGCGCCTCCAAAGGGGGAAAAGAAAAAAGAAAAAACTCCAACTTGGCGGAAGGCAGGAGGGTGAATCGAGCGTGCCCCAGCAAGCTTGCTTCGCGAAAAGGCGGCTACTCCTTTTCTGGGATTTTTTTTTTCCTCCCTCAACCCCCTTCCGAAGCCGTTCGCCGCTTAGGAGCGACCCTCTCTCGGGCTGCTGTGGATGCGGCGTGTGATGGAAAAGCAGTAGCTCGAATTTGCGAAACCACTTCGGCCTCTTCTCCTACCGACTACCGAGGAAACCTCGTTGGGATTTGCACTTCGGAGAAAATTGCCCGAGTAACTGGTTGGCAGGGCAGGGGCGCTCAGTGTAAGCAGACACCCCTTTGAATGTTGGTGTTCAGAAGGCGAGCTGTTTGGGGAGACGAACGAGTTGGGGTGCCTTTCGTTCGAGGACCGGGATTTTGCGACCGCTCGGCGCGAGTCGAGACAAGGCGAAGGGAAACAAACTTGGCCTCTCGAATCCGACGACTGCCGGAGAGCAAAGGTTCGGGGGAGCCGAGAAGGTTTCGCCCTCTGGAATGAGTTTTCCTGCGCTTTAAGACTTCTCGCACGTTGTTGCCTTGCGGATCTAACTTAGCAGGGAGGTGCCTTCATGCGGATTTGCCATTCAAAAACGTAAGTTTGTGCCCGTCCCCCTTTCTTGTCCTAACTTGGCTTGCAAAATGGATCCTCGCTGCCTTTTTTTGCACGTGTGGCGCTCAAGTATTCAGCAGGTGCCCTGGCATTTCCCCTTCCCAATAGCGGAGTTTTCTGTGGCCCCAGCTTGAAGGGGGGGGGGAGCTGAGAGTGGCGCTGCGGTCGCTGGAGTTTCGTTTGGATAGATTTCCTTGGCTTAAAAAGTGGCGGCTTCGCTTGTCTTCTAGCCCAGATTTACTGGGCTCTGAACTTGTGGCTTCGGATAAAGCATTGTGAGGAAAGTGGGGCGGCTGGATCGAAGGGTTAAGACCTGCCGACCTTTGCTGCCAACTGCTTCGGTGGAGAAATAGGCTCTTTTTCGACCGTTAGAGATGTTTGGTGCCAATGCCTCGTCTTTAAGCCTGTTTCTGACGTAATCCTTTGATAGCATTTGGCACAGGTGACACTGGAAGGAAATGATTTTGGATTGTTTGTCCCAGACAAGATGATGCGGAAATAAGTGACCAGGTTGGGTCTTACTTTTTACTACTACTGTTGTATTGCATGCTTGCACATATGTTTCTGGAAATTGTTCTGCCCAGCCCTGTCAGAGTTCCCTTGTTTATTCTCAAGAGTAAGAGAGGTGGTTCAGAGAAAGGAGCATACAATTGTGCAACTGTGTTGGCCACATACTGCAGGAGTAAAAGAAATTTTTAAAGTGATTGGATTATTATTATTTTTTAATCACAGGAATTAGAGCTCTTCTTTGCTACATGCAATTCTGTGGATGTGGAGAAAGTGTGGAGGACAGGTGGATGTCATAATAATCCCTACTAATTCCGTGGATTTTATGTTTAAGAGCAGGGTCAAGTTTTTGCTTCAGATGGTTTACTAAATAATCCCCAACAGTTTTTTTCCCTAAGATCTTTAAAATATGTTGTGTGTGTGTGTGCGAGCACGAAGTATATGTAGTCAATAGTGAAGGGATTTTCCCCTGCAGCGTGGGTGAGATTCTAGTGGGTCACTGAAGAGGCATGGAGGCTACAAGAAGGAAATGGTGTTTCAGGCAGAGATAAACAGGCTTCCCCCCCTCCCCCACCCTCTTAGAAACCATTGAAGGGAAAAGGGAGGGGGGAATCCCTGCATGCTCAAACTAGCACACACAAATCTTCCATATTTGCCTTGAAAGGTAGGGGAGGCAGTGCAGCTTTAAGCATTGGAAAGTCCGCCCCCCCTGAGGTAATAGTAACCTTAGCCGATTCCCCTCCTCCTCTGCAAATGGGGGTGAAAAAAATCCCTTGTTTTCATTCATAACTTTTTCTTCTTCCATCCCAGCTCTGCATTCATTGCTGCCTCTGAGCTCAGATTGCATGTGGGCAGTGCAACCAACCACTGCTTCACCAGCCTGCTGCTTCTCTGTTTCTCTCAAGTCCACGCAAAGCAGATTTTTATAAGCTTGTTCACCTTCCTACCATTTTGAACTAGCTAGTAGTGAACTAAATCAAGAAACATGTTAGGCTTTCTTCCACAAAGTAAGGGAATCATTAAGATTTGGATTCATTAAGACTATAAAACTATAGTCTTACTATAAAAGTCTGTAGTCTATAAAAGAAAAAAAAACCCTGATTTTTGGAATCGATTGTTCACTTACTGTCTAATAGAAGCAGTTGTCTGTTTTTTAGACCTAATCAGGCTATAAGCATCCAAAATGTTTTACAAAATAAGTACTCTGGTACAAGCAAGTTACTTCCAAATAAGCTCCACTTTTTAAAGAAAGAACAAAATAATTTCATTCCATCTTGCTGCTTCTTGTACATACTTAGAATTTTGAAAGCCACAACTGTAGAAAAAAAATATTTAATTTCCAGACTTCTCTTTTATCCCAGTAGCATTTTGGGGATAGTTTCTAGAACTTTTTGGAAAGGTTATTGTGTGGATTATATTTTGACCTTTGGTGTGTGTGTGTGTGTGTGTGTGTGTGTGTTTGTGTGTGTATAACAATATGTTTCCGTAAGTATGCGAGAATAGGGGAGCATTTTTTTTTGCTGGAAATCAGTTACTTAATTTGTATAATTACTAAATGGTAAGCTTCCATTTATAATTATACTACCACAGTTTCAAATGCAGTAATCCAATTTCTGACTTCTGTTTGACCTTTCAAAGCACCTCACAACATGATATATAAGATGCATACAACTTAAATAAATTTTTTAAAATAACGTAGTCTATGTTAAAAAGCAAAATATGTGACTTGCTGTGCTTAGTTCCATTTTTTTTCTCAGCTGTAAACTAGTTGACTTTCAGCTTTTTCCTATTGAGGTTTGATGAAAAATCTTTGCACACTGAAGATTTATGTGAAATTTTGGCCATATTGGTCAAGTGCTGTGCAACATTATCACATTTTATGCTTATTAACTCAGGTGAGAAATTATGGAGATATTGTTCCAAATCATGGGCTGTATCCCATTCAAAATTGTCATTGTCAGAAATTGTCTTTCTTTATATAGAGCACTTTCCATAAAAACCTGTGTTAATTATTGTCACAGTGGTCTCAAGAAAGCAGTATAGATTCAAGTTTCCCTTTCACCTTCCTTTTAGTTAATATTAAAAGGAATGTTTTGAGTCTTGTCTACTGTATACTTTTTTCTTCACTTATCTTGCACAGGTCCTTTTTTCCCCCCTAGCGACTTATTTACCCAAAGAACTGCACGTACATTTTCAAAGATCTGATAAATACAACGGGTTATCTGCCTATCTCTTCTCCTGATATCCTTTCCTTCCTCTGCCTCCTTTCACACCCTGCATTAGGTGCATGGGCACTTGGAAAGATGTTGTGTAACAGGATGTGTTTACATCTGATGTTTTGCTCTAACAAGCACTAGATATTGAATGTATGTATATACATTATATAAATGCACACTACCCAGAAATGATTCACATATTCTTCCCATTGGTATTTGGCTTGAGGCATCTACAACTAAAAATACTGCTATGCTGACGATGTTTAAAATAGAATGCAGCTTTGACAAGTAAAACAGACTACCACAAATCCAATTAAGAATTTTCACGTCTCCTTTTGTTTAAAATTTGAATGTCTTCTATCAGTGTTCTATCATATGCTCTGAAACTTGGTGTGGCTTTGCATGTTTTATGCTGATAATTGGTGGCATGGAGCAGAAGTAATTATAGCATGTAAGCCGGTAAAGAATTTACTTTTATACTATATATATATATTATGTATGGTGTTATAATATACTTAAGGAAATCACATTACAATTTACTAAAAAGCAAAATGCTTGTGTTTTAACCACAAGAAGGCTTTCAATATATTTTGTTTATGTCATTTAAATTGTTATACCCTTTGGTGTGTCTTTGTTAATCCTATTGGGGCAACATTGTGGCTTGTTGTAAAATGTTTCTTTTCCTCAAAACTTCTGGGAACTTATCCTCTTTCCAATTTTTTCCCTTTCTTTTAGGATTTCAGATGCATGCCCAGTTCCTGGTGAATGCCAGAAATAGAGACCACTACCGATGGAGTCCACAGGTCAGCATGGAAACAGCAGTTCGTTAGTTGTCCATCAGCAGCTTTTCCTGGACAACCAGCAAAGGTTGGACTATGAAAGAGATATTCAGCCAGCTGCCATCTTGTCACTGGACCAGATCAAGACTCTCAGGGGCAGCAATGAATACACTGAAGGTCCTTCTGTGGTGAAAAAGTCTGCTCCCCGGACAGCTCCAAGACAAGAAAAACATGAAAGGACTCATGAAATCTTACCAATAAATGTGAATAATAATTATGAGCCCAGACCCAGCCATCTTGGACATGTGCTACATCAATACAACTCAAGGATTCCTGTTTTGAGCAGATCTACAAGCACTGGAAGTGCAGCTAGTTCTGGAAGCAACAGCAGTGCTTCTTCAGAGCAGGGCCTTTTATTAAGATCACCACCATCAAGGCTGGGCCCGAGTCAGAGATTTGAAAGGCCAATCAGGACGCAACCCAAACTGTCATCTTTGATTGTAGATGACTTGAAAAGTCCTTTGAAAGAGGATTCTACTCAACATAAGTTCATATGTGAACAGTGCGGGAAATGCAAATGTGGAGAATGCACAGCACCCAGGGCCTTGCCTTCTTGCTTGGCCTGCAACAGACAATGCTTGTGCTCAGCAGAAAGCATGGTAGAATATAGCACCTGTATGTGTCTGGTCAAAGGAATCTTCTACCACTGTTCCAATGATGATGAAGGGGACTCATATGCGGATAATCCATGCTCATGTTCCCAGTCACATTGCTGGTCCCGGTACCTATGCATGGGGGCCATGGCTTTGTTTCTTCCGTGCCTGCTCTGTTACCCTCCTGCAAAAGGATGCCTAAAACTGTGCCGTGGGTGTTATGATTGGATGAATCGTCCAGGATGCCGATGCAAAAACTCCAATACAGTTTATTGTAAGCTGGAAAGTTGTCCATCAAGGGGTCAAGGCAAGCCCTCCTGATTTCTGGAGGGAAAGATTCAGTTCCTCAGACACCATCTTTCAGATTGTGGCTGACTTTTCTGTGTCCATGCTCCTTTTTTTCTTTCATGCCCAAGATCTTCTCTCACTTCTATAGCTTATCTCAATGAAGGGCAAATCTGAATGCATTGGTCTTTGGTAAGTGTGGCTCATACGCTGGTATCTTTTTTCATCTTGGAAAGTCATCTCAGGATTCTGAGTAATAGACTCCTGAAAGAAATAGTGAGGGTACTGGGTTTTTCTGAAGTCCTTTATTCTGCAAATAACTTTCCAAAGATGCTGTTTTGTCCTGTTCTCTTTTTAACTAACTTTAATGGCTTTCAAGTGGTTTTTTTTTTTGCAACTCTTTCCATTCCCCTTTTTAAAAAAGGCTGCACAATTCAGTTATTTCCCTTAAACAAAGCGAAAACGAAAGGAAAATATGGGTTGAAATTTAGCAAACCTAGTCTCCCCCCCAATTTTTTAAATTAACCACTTGCATTTTGCTTGTTCCTTGCCCACTGTTTTGTCAATCCAGATTTTAAATATTTACCTTCATTGCTCCCATTACTGGTTTCTTCATAAGCTTCTATTGTTTTCAGATATATAGTTCGCTCTTCATATAATACAATTTAAGTTGTATAAGCCTGATTTCTCAACACTTCTATTTCTGTGGTTTAAAATTTTAACTCATCTTCAGCTCAGTAACTTTGCTCCTTTTGTTGCCTTAGCCACATATTGTGGTGCTTTTTGTATATTTTATGTAAAATCACAAAGTTGAATTCTGACTATTTTTAAGACAAAGGTCTGTTAAAACTTTTTTATTGTAAAGAATATTTATTATGTAAATCTCTATTATTTTATGATATTTATTATAAAAAAACTGTTCCAAAAATGTATTCCTGTCTGAATATTACAAAATATCATCATTTAATGAAAATAAGGGTGACACAAGGAAAGTATGTATGTTAAACTATAATGCAGAAAATATAATAATTAATTAAAATGTCTTGGGTTCTTTATTTGTTAGTAAAACTGTTGTTCTTAGCAGTATTAGAAGAAAGACTATACAATCCTTTACCACTTTTCTTGGAGATAGGCCACTGTACTCAGTGGGACTTCACTTTTGAATAGGCTTGTATAGAATTACACTGTTAGACCACTGCCACTTATTTCTTTTCTGAAGTTTTCATGACCCTGAAATCATTTTTTTTTAAAAATTGGATTTTTGCTCTGAATTGTTTTTCAGCATTGGTGTATCTTGCTCACTTGAAAACATTCACACCCCAAGCTATATTTGTGCAACTATAGAGTTTTTTCATAGACTATACATTGATTTTCATTATTTTTTGTTTTTAAGAAGATAATTTTTCTAAGGTGTAAAAATGAGATACCAAACATTAAAGTTTGGGAAAGAAAAATGAGAATTCCTAAACACCTCATTTTTCATATTATGTTCATGGTTTTTCTTCAAAATATTAATTCTGTTTCCAGAATTCAGAATAATGATTCTTGTGGACCTATTTGGTGCCTACTATATTAATAAAATATATGTAATTGAATTGATACCGTTGAACCTGTTAGCTGATGTTCTCCACACTGATTATCTTGCATCTAAGCTCCTTACAAGGCATTTTAAAAATAGCATTACCCATAGTGAAAGTGCTTGCTTTCTCTAAAATAACCAAGCATGCATGTCCATATTTAGAAATCTTGTGTGTTATTTAACTACACTATGTGCGGTATAATTCAACCAGCTTAATAAAACACATTTATTTTAAAACTTCTAAATAATAAAAAGGCAATACTATAGTGAGCTTTGAAGCTTTCAGGTGAATCTAGTTTTTAACTTGGCTCATTATGGTTCTCTTCTAGCTTTCTAATGATTACATAAAAGAATTAATAAGAATTAGTGTAACCATTTCTCTCTTAGTGGTGTTCTTGAATCCTTTGTCACAACTATGCATAAGGACATAGCATTCACTTGTATCATCTGGGAGTAGTGATACCTGACATGTTTATATAAACTGTCTTCATTACTATGCATTTTTCATGGAAATACGTTTCTGCACAATAGTTCCTTTTTGGATTGTGTCAATAACTACATTGTTGATCATGCTCTCTTCATTCATGTTGAAGATCTGAGTAAGTTCAGCTCTTGTGATAGAAGCAAAATAGGCTCATGCAGTGTTTTTCTTTTCATTGAATTATTAAAAACATTTATGGAAAAACACTCACTGTATGTTAATCACTCAACATCTAAAGCCTTCCCTTTTGTAAAAGGAAAAGTCAGTTTATTGAGTACTGACATTTTATCATTTGATTTCCCTCTATCTTCCTATCTCACACTAGCACTTTAACAAAGGCAAACTCAAAGTCAAGATCAATCCATGATGAACTCCTCTGGATGTGCTTCTGTTTTCAGAAGAAGGAGTGAAGAAAAAAAAACCAACTTCAAAATCTTTGGTTTATCTAGTCTTTGCACTTTCTTTGAATATAGTAGAATATTCCAATCTGCATATAAACTTTTGTGCCCTGGTTTTATTAAAATATTTAATAAACATAGTCTTATTTCCAGTTTTCTGGTAGCTTTTTTTTCCAGAAGTAAACACTTTTTTCTAAGGGACTGTTGTTCTAGGTGCTCTGACTACGTGTAGTGAATTTTTAATGATTGCCCTGCTCTGTTGTATCTGAGAAAGGTGATATTTCCTATAAGCTGTTGTTTCGCTACTTTCATTGCTTTATAGAATTTAACACAAAATCCTGTCCTTTTTCTTCCCTTCGAAATCCACAAAGAAGCCCTGGCCTTGTAGTGGAGTTGCAAAAGTATTAGTCTAGGAAGTATTTTAAGTATGGATAGAATTGCCATATATGCAGCTTTTTATTCCTGTAATCTCACTGTTGTAAAGTTGGTCTTAAACTAGCCTTAAGGCTAGCTTAAGGTGTTATACATCATAAATTAATGGGTCTGTTTTGATTTTGTATTGATTTGTTTCAAGGAGAAGTTCCTGATTCAAGACCTGATGCTAGCTAGGTACATGAAACATTAAAATGATCTGCAATGTACGATGTGATGTAATCATACAATTGGGAAAGTATCAAATTGTATGCTTGTGGTATTGGGACATGGCATGCCCTTTCCAGTTCCAAAACCACAGTCTACTTTGCCTGGAAAAGTAAACATATGACATGTTCCCTATTAAATATCAAGCTAAACATATGTAGACCAGTATATAACTTCTAAACGATAAAGCTCATATACATTAAAGTTTGGATTTGAAATAGATTTTTTTCAATGTGATTAAAACAGACACTGTCAACATTATAGCACTACAACCATTTAAAATTCTAGGAGTTTGTGTGACCCTCTCCCAAATAAAATAATAAATTCCTATGTGTTAGGGTTGGACAAGAAATAAATACTCCACTTTTAATCATTTAATCACAGGCTTTTTAAATATTGAATTGCCATAACAATGTTTGCATAGACAGCAGAGGAGCAAAGCCAAAGTTAGTTTCGAATATGCTTCTGCTTTGTCTGCCCATCTATCAATATTTTTTTTTTTAAAAAAGATCTCACCTCTAAAGTTGCTTTTAACCTCCCAAAGATTCTTAACTCATATTTTGAGAAGTCTGGGATTACAGTAAATCAAAGATCTTTTAAAACAGCCGAACCTCTGGACACTAGATAGGTATGTCGAAAGTTACTTTTTCTGAGATGTGTAGCCATATAAATAAGATGAATGGTTTTCTTGAATATAGAATAAGGTTTATTATTCTGTCTTGGTTGGAAGGAGGTGGGATGTGGGAGGAGGATATACAGTCGATAGATTCCTGTTTTTCTGGTAATCTCCCAAAGTACAAATCACATGGTTCCTTGTTTATCTTTTGATATTAAGTACATTTAGCTTGGAATTATCACTGCTGAGGACAATACAGATTGAATATGATTTATAATACCTAAAATATATGGCTGAATTTTCAGATGGTTGAGGTACAAGGAAGTTATATTTTAAAGGAAAGCTAATTGTCATCTATTATATGTCAGAAAAAGATTTCTGTGGCTTCCAGTTGTGCCTTCAGAGTTAAACATACCAAGTCACAAATGTAGGTCCTTTTAAGTAGTCAAGATTTATGCAGTTGATGGAATCCTTTGGATGGAAACTAGGACAAGGAAGAAGTATTAGGTATGCTTATCACCTTGAGTTACTTATAAAGTTGGGATAAAATCAAATATATGAAATAAATATGTACTGTATCTTGTTCTGATGCTAAGAGCTTTTCCCAACTAGTGATTTACCATCTGGATATTGTTGTGTAATACTACAGACTTTAAATTGTCACGCCATGAGAAGCATATGCTAGAAAAGGGTCGCCAACCAGTGGGACGAAGACCACTGGTGGTCCACGAGAAAATTTTGGTGGTCTGCAGAGAAATGTGCCCCCCAAAGCAATCCAGGCTGCATGGCAACACAAGGCTGCACCGCCCACATGGCCCGCAGGAACATGAGGCTTGCATCACTTGCATTGCAAACAACACGAGGTAGTGAGGGGAGGGAGGAAAGGGGGGAACTTGCCCCACTCTTCCCATGCGCCTTGCCTGGACATCAGGCTGCTTCTTTCCACTTCTTTCTTCTGCTTTTGGCTACACACAAGTAAAGCAGCAAGTCTTTTTTTTCTCTCCTCCAAACTCCACCAGAAATGAGCCTTTGGGACCCTGCAAGGCATCCTGCTCCAAGAGGCTGCACTAGCGCAACAAGTCTCATAGTCTCATTTCTAGCAGAGTTTGGGGGAGAGAAAAATTCTGCTGCTTCTGCTGCTTTCCATGCATAAAGCCAAAAGTCTCTCTTTCTCTCTCCCTGAGAACGGAGCTGGAGACAGTATCCTGCAATCCCAAATAAAGAACGATTGGTAGGAAAATGGGGTGGGGAATTTTCCTGCAGACTTTTGGGGGGATTTTCTCAGGATCTCTGCTGCTTTCTGCAGAGACCCTGGGAAAATGTCAGCAAGCCACCATCGGTCAAAATTCATATTAATGGTCCACAGGATTTAAAATTATGAGTGATGGTCCCTGAGGTCCAAAAGGTTGGCGACCCCTGTGCTAGAAGACACTAAAAATGCTTTTAGACTCACTCAAAGTCAAAAGTAGAAAAGATTAATGGCATCTGTACTATTCAGTTTTAAGTCTGGAATACATGCATATATAAAAATGCTGAAAAAATAAAATGCTATAATGCTAAAATGCTATAAAAAATCTGAAAATAAATGGGTCCTAGAAGAAGGAATTCACTGGATTTGGCCCATTTTAATTCATCATTCAACCTGTTTTAATTCATTGTTCAAGCATGGTTTTCATGTTCCTGAGAAATCAATCTTAAAAAAAT